ATTATGATAATGTGTTCATTATGGTAACATACACCCCCGCTAGAGTAACATACAGAGTCTCGCTGCCCTAAACGCCTACTTTTTCAGTTTTAACCACGTATTCGCCCTGGTTAAGCAGCAAGCAGCACAGGCTAGTTGTGTACAAAAGCAAGAATGAGTAAGACACAGCCACATCCAAACTTTTTTCCAACCACAGAGTCTCTTACAGGATATCAGAGTACAGACAGCCTTTCAAAAAGTGGCTCCAAGATAGTTTACACACTCACACACTGCTTGCCTCAGTCTGCCTCTTGTCTATGCCATGGACCTCCTCTAGGGAACAGTGTAATGTACTTTCTTAGTTGTCAACAGTAGGAGACAAAAATGACAATATCGCTATTTCCCATTTGTGCTAGCAAAAGTCCCGGGAGCTCCTAGGGAACGGGGGTGATGTTTGATTTACCTTTGCACCCCAATATCTAGTATAAAGAAATGTCTTCCCAAAACTTGCTGAGGTAAGAGAAACCATTGCATTGGCCAAGTTTCATAAATCATCTAAACCAGTATCTTTTCCCCCATTCCACTAAATGTGGCATTTGCTATGTATCATGCCTGTCCTGCCCTTTGTAATAAATTCCATTCTCTACTTTAAAAGGTGAAGAGCCCCAGTGCTCTTTCTCCTGTGTGCCCTGGAGTTCCTTTCCCCCCTCCCTCCCTCCCTTTCTCCCTCTCTCCCTCCCTCCCTCCCTCCCTCCCTCCATCCATCCATCCATCCATCCATCCATCCATCCTTCCCTCCTACCACTTTAAAATGCACTAATGCCGCAATGGCTTTCCAAAAACTGTCTTTCCCCCACCCAACCTTCCCAGAAACTGGAAGAGCCCTTCCTTCACTTGCTTAGACTAATAAATAAAACCAGGAGCTATTTTGAGTAGCTGCCTCTCACTTCCATAGAAGAGATTGAACTGTCCTGCTCCTCCAAAACACTAGTAACAAATCACTAAGAACTGAGTGTAGCATTGTGTTACTTCACCAAGAGCCACAGCCTGCTTTTTTTTTTCCAGCCACATTGCAAAGCCAAAGACTAGACCATCCATCACACCTGAGTAGCAATGTCAACAAGTTTTGGTCATGACCTTGACAGTCCACTAAACTGAGTCCCTATCTTCTTCAGCAATAAGTGAAGTGCTTCCAAACTGTACCTTCTCAGCTAAAGGTTACAAATACCCTTTGTTTACAAGTAGCTGAGATCATGACTTTCACTTTTAGCAAACCCCTAAAGAAAATAAGGTCTTACTGACAAGCATTGAGAGCTGGTCTTAAGTTGATTAGTTCCTGCACCAGCCTTTTTATTTGGTTGGTTGGTTTGGGTTTTTGGTTTTTTGAGTCAGGGTTTCTCTGTGTAGCCCTGGCTTGTCCTGGAACTTACTCTATAGTCCAGGCTGGCCTCAAACTCAGAGATTCACCTGCCTCTGCCTCCGGGGTACTGGGACTAAAGATGTGCATCCCACGCCTAGCTTGTATCAGCTTTTAAGGAAAGAGGTCCAGGATGTTAGACTGATCAAAGGTCCACAAAGTGGTTCAGTGAGAGCAGAATCATGGCCAATATCTTTACCAGCCAAGGTAAAGTACTTTAGTACCAGGCTGGGGACATCAAGGTACCGAACAAAAACTTAGTATACTAAATGGCATTTATTCTATATTTCAATAATTTCAAAGGTTTGAGGCAGAAATGTGGTCATAGTGAGTTAAAATTTGACTGTGAGATGAACTGAAGACAACAAATAGAAGTATTCTCCCACAAGCCTAACTACGAAGAGGACAGAAGTGTAGTTTCAAGAGAAGTATTTCTGTGTCCACGAAAGAAAGATGCTTTAAAGGAGAAGCAAGGGGCTGGGGTACAGCTCAATTGGTAGACTGCTTGCCTAGCATCCATGAAAGCCCGGGTTCAATCCCTAACCTCACCTCAATGGACCGCGGTCATGCGGGTCTATAAACATAGCACTCAGGAGCTGAAAGCAGGGTAATCAGGAATTGAAGGTCATCCCCAGGACAGGCTGGGATACATGAGACCCTATCTCAAAACAAAAGCCAATGGTCCTGTGTGTACCCTAATTGGTGTGTGCGTGGGGGGGGGGGCATATGCACACATGCATGCATGTGGAGGTGGTTATCTTCCTTGATTGCTCTTCACCTTTTTTTAAGACAGTATTGGAGCTCATTGGTTTAGCTAAGCTGGCCAATGAGCTCCAGGGATCTGTCTGTCTCCCTTTCTCCCCAAGCAAAATCACTCTGGCTACCCAGCTCTTTACATGAATCCTGGGAATGTGAACTCAGGTCCTCAGGCTTGTGTGATGGGCACTTTACTGACTAAGCCATCTCTCTAGTCCTTACCATGTTAATCTAACTCATTATTCATTTAGCAATACTTTGAACTTTATTGTTTGTTTTTAATACATAAGGGTTTTTTGTTTTTTTGGGGTGTTTTTTTTTTTTTTTTTGCCTGCATGGGTGTCTATGAACCACATGCATGCCTGGTGTCCTCAGAGGCCAAGAAAAAGTATTAGATCCCCTGGAACTGGAGTTACAGTTGTGAGCTGCCCAGTGGGTACTAGGAATCAAACCTGGGTCATCTAGAAACACATCCAGTGCTCTTTACTGCTGAGCCGTCTCATCACCTCATTAACAATAGTTTTGTTGAGCGCCAACACTACATGAGTTGGGCTAGATGCCAGACTATGGTACTCCCCTGTGAGTCTTAAACTCCCTACTATACACCCCTGTAGGATCAGCATCTCCACTCTACTGAACACTGATCGGGCCTCCCGTTTCAGTTCTCTGATCTGGCATCTCCCATAGACTGGGTCTTGCATTTGCATCCACAGAGCCTGAAAAAGCCATGAGGCGTGGGAAAGCAGGGCAATATCTAGTACATGTGTCATCTCCACAGAGGAAAGCTTAGGTTTCTTTTAAACCTTAGAAGACTAGAGGCCCAGCCTGGAGCACAGCTAGAATAGTAGTAGTCAGGAGGCGGTGTTCTGTCCTGGAAGCTGTCTCCTGTACCAATGTGTTCAAGGCTATTCCTCACTTTCTCTTCTATCAGGTTCAGTGTCTCTGGTTTTATGTTGAGGTCTTTGATCCACTTGCACCTGAGTTTTGTGCAGGGTGATAAATATGGATCTATTTACATTCTTCTACATGCAAACATCAAGTTAGACCAGCACCATTTCTTGAAAATGCTTTCTTTTTTCCCATTGTGTATTTCTGGTTTCTTTATCAAAAACCATGTGTCCATAGGTGTGTGGATTTATATTTGAGTCTCTGACTTGATTCCACTGATAAACATGTCTGTTTTTTAACCAACAGAGAAATACAAATCAAAATTACTTTGAGATTCCATCTTACACCTGTCACATTGGCTAAGATCAACAACACAAGTGACAGCTCATGCTGTCAAGGATGTAGAGCAAGGGGAACACTCCTCCATTGCTAGTTGGAGTGCAAACTTGTACAGCCACTATGGAAATCAATATGGCAATTCCTCAGAAAATTGAGGATTGCTCTACCTCAAGACCCAACTATACTACTCTTGGGCATATACTCAAAAGATGCCCCATCTGACCACAAGGACATCTGATCAATTATGTTCATAGTGGCTTTATTCATAATAGCCAGAAACAAGAAACAAACTACATGTCCCTCAAACAAAGAATGGATAAAGAAAATGTGATACATTTACACAGGAGTATTACTCAGCTGTTAGAAAAAAAATAACATGAAATTTGTAGGCAAATGAATAGAACTAGAAAAAAATCATCCTGAGTGAAGTAAGCCAGAAAGGCAAACATGATCACTGCCTAGTCCAATCATCATCAGAGAGGCTTCCTCCGACAGCTGATGGGAGCAGAAGCAGAGACACACAGCCAAACATTAGGTGGAGCCTGGGGAACCCAAGATGGGGGGGAAGGATTGTAGGAGCCAGAAGGGTCAAGGTCACCAGGAGAACATGGTCCACAGAATCAACTAAGCAGGGCTCATAGGGGCTCACAGAGACTGCAGCATCAATCACAGAGCCTGCATGGGTCCTCTGCATATATGTTATGGAGGTTTAGCGTGGGGTTTTTATATAACTCCTAATTGGGACCTTTCCCCTCCTACTGGGTTGCCTCATACAGCCTTGATATGAGGGTTTGTGCCTAGTCTTATTGCATCCTATTATACTGTGTTCTGTTGATATCCCTGGGTGGCCTGCTCTTTTCTGAAGGGAAACAGAAGCAGTGGAACTGGTCGTGATGGGGGGGAAGGGGCATGACTGAGAGGAAGAGGGAGGGGGAACTGTTGTCGGGGATGTATTGCCTGAGAGAAGAATAAACAAAGAGAAAAAAGATTTCATATCTATATAAAAAATTATATATACATATACATACATACATACATACACACACACATACATACATATGAATGAGTACAGTTCCCAGAGGCCAGAAGAGGGCACCAGATCCCCTGGAGCTGGAGTTACAGGTGGTTATGAGCTATTGCCAGTGTAGGTGCTGGGAACCAAACTCGAGCAACAGGTGCTCTTAACACCGAGCCATCTCTCCAGCCCCAGGATTCCAACTTTTGAAAATAAATAAAACCAGAGGTGAAGTTTGGGGACTTTTCTAAATGCAATGTGAGGCGCCATCACATCAGCACTTTCTGGTTTAAACAGCCCACTCCAGTCCTTCATGTGGAGGCCATGCACACGCGGGCTTACTAGGGAAGACACGGGCTGAAAGTAATCCCTTCCTCCTCATCCCGACGACCACGCCCGGAAGATTAACCCTCGCAGCTCCCTCTCCCCTCAGAATCAGGGTGAACAGCAAGCAGTTTCCTTTCTCCCCTCCTCCTCCTCCACGCTGCCCGGGGACTGTGGCAAGACAAGGCTCACACTGCCCCCTACTGCCCAGTCACATGTTCTCTCTGCCTTGACCACCTCCAGCTCCCACTTTGAAAAAAGGAAAGCGACAGGATACCCCCACAAAAGTCAAATGTCTTTATTTTATATATAAAAAAAATTTGTACAGTTTTAGTTCCTATGTTTAAGAAAAAAAATCCCTAAAATTGCCATAATGTTTAATCCACTGCAAACGGTAAAAACAAGCTTTTTATATATTAAAAAAAATTTACATTTTACAATTTTCTACATGCATGCACAAGGTCTCAGCTCTGTAACCAAAAAAAAAAAAAGTAAAGAAAAGAAAGAGAAAGAAAGAAGATAAGATTTTTTTAAAAAAGAAAGAAAAAAGGAAATGGGGGAGAGGGAATAAAAAAATCTAGATTCAACAATGGAAAATTCTACATTTACACAATCTCACTTGGAAGAGATTCAAGAAGTCCCTTCCTTCTGCACACAGAAGAACAAATCACAACAACCACACATCAGAACGGAATCCATCAGCAGATGTTGCCCCATGGGGAGAACAGGGAGGGAAAAGAGACTGACAGACACCAGGAAGGGACAAGGCAAAGCGAGGCCCAACCAAGAGGAAAAGCACAAACCCAGGACACAGACATCTGGAGTGCGGACCTCCCAGGAATCCCGCCTCCTTGCCGCTAATCGGGGTTTACAGTGGGGATGCTGTGGAGGCTAGGAGGAAAAGCATAAGGGAAGAGATGGAAGGAGGCAGGAAGACGTGAGAGGGAGACTGCAGGGACATAAATAAAAACAGAGCAAGAACACATACTTAGGAGACACCAGAAAGGGGCCAATGGGGACAGCGACAGAGTGGCGAGGTAGGTGAAGGACTGAGGCACGGTGTCCTGGTGTGGAGGGAAGAGAGGTAAGCACTCCAAGGTCATGAAAACAAAGGCCAAGTTGTGCAGTGGGGATGAGCTAGGATGCCACACAGACAGAGAAACAGGCGCACTGAAGTAGCCCAGCACAGCATCCCCTATGGTGACGGTGTTGGGCTGGGTAGGCACATTCCTACGGCGGAAGAATAGAAACCAAGTGAGTGGGGACAGGATTGGAGGGGAAACTGCCCAGAGGGACTGAGTCAGCTGCCCACCCATAGCAGGTCACAGCATGAAGACAACTTCTTATTCTGGAGAAGCAAAAGACACACAGACACACAGACACACAGACACACAGAGATAAACACACAGGCACAGATACACCTCTCCTCTCTCTCTCTCTCTCTCTCTCTCTCACACACACACACACACACACACACACACACAGAGCTATACACTTGACAATTCATCCTGACATTTTAAAAAATAATAACAACCAAAGTAGACAAAGATACCACAGTTCTGACACAAAGGACCAAAACGCTACCATCTTAGTCACAGCCCTTAGTGCTTAGACAGAGTCAGGGAAACTTTTTCTTTTCGTTTTAGGGAAAAGGAATGAAAGTATCACAGTGATTAAAAAACATGGCAGGTTCTTAAAATAAACACTCCTGTGCCCCTAACCTAGGGCATCAACTAAGATCCCAAACATTTTCCTTCTGCCCTCCCCCACCCACTGCTCAAACCAACACCACACCCCATTCTTGCCCATAAAGGCAGCGACCCCAATCACCATCCAGGCCTGGCTTTCCAGGATAGTGAGGTATTTATGTGACCCAAAAAGGACTCCTCTGAAACCTGATTTTTTTTTTTTAAAGAAAAGATACCTTCCTATGACCCAAGTACAAACTAATTTCACTGGAGTCTATCCAGGAACCTCTACCACAGCCTGGAGGTTAACTCCGAGGGCCCTGCCTAAGTCAGCTCCAAAAGCCCATCCCTGTGGGAACAAAGTAAGCACTAACGGATGAGCCCCTTTGTAAGGGGTGGGTGGGCTGTGGATCCCACAGCCTCACAGCGGGGTCAATGGGTACCTCATCTCAGTTTGTGCTTTGCACAGAAAATGCCAGCAAAATTTCCAGGGAAGTGAAGGACCTACGCAGGGGCTTTGGGAGTTGTTTAGAGAAGTGGCCCAGGAGCCCAGCTCCATCCCAGCCATCAGAACCATCCTCCACACGGACGCCGGAGGGATGGATGTGGGTATTTTCTATGTCTATTCCTTGTGATAAAAAAAAAATGATTTAAAGGCGTCTAATTTAAAGGTTCAAATTTGCTCTGAAAATATCCATTTGAGGGTTAGTGAATCCTGCTCAAAATGAGCTTTAAATTACTGAGAGTCAGATTCGGTGCAAAGGCTATGTTAGTTAAAATGGGGTGAGGAGCTAAGACCCATAAAAGGCAGGAATCCTGGTCCCTCGCCCCAATATGGAGCCTAGAAAGCGAGGCAGGGAGAGAAGAGGATGGGACCCTGGAAGGCCATGGAAAAGAGACCCCTGAGGCAAAGAACTGGACTTAAGGCAGGGGATGAGAAGGAGCTGCTGGGCCCTCCCCTAAGAAGAGATGAGGCCACAGGTCTCTAGAGCTGCAAGTCAACAGGATTGGGGTAGCTGGTGCAGAGAAGAAAAATGTCTTAAGACCATAGGGTTGGTCAGGGTCTGCACGTCATAAAGTCCCGACAGAAGTTGACATGCATCCTTCACAGGTAAGGGTGGGAATGAACAGCTCAGAGGGGTAAAGGTCAATGGGTTCAGAGGGATGGGGGGGGGGGTCAATGACAAGGGTCTCTCCAACCTCAGGGGTCTCTCCCGCCCTTCCCCTCAGGAAATACTGGGACCTCCCCCACAGCCCTGGTCAAGTGGTCAAAGAGGTTCCACCTCAGTTTGCCTATGATCATGTGATCACACAGGTCAGGAACAGCAGTGAAGACTCCTGGGGGGGCAGGTGGGGCTCCCTGCTTGTTCTGTGTATGTGTGTGGACCAGGAAAGCACAGCTGTAACAGTGGGAAGCAAGTAACACTGCAGGGAGATTCCTAACTCTGGGACTACTGTCACGGGTGCATCCTTGCCCGGGGACTCGGGGCTATGGGTGGGGACAAGGAATAGGGCTAGCTGCTGTCCCGCAGGAGTTTGGCACCATGGCTCTCTAGGATCAAAGCTGTGCCGCCCCTGCCCCCCCCCCAGAGAACCCCTATTAGAGGCCACTGGAGAGCAGGGCTCTGCGAACTTAGGTCTATTAAGTGGGAGCTCTGGGTTAGGGTACAATCAAGGCCCTGCACGCGCGCCCTTTGAGGAGGGACTTCCACCCAGGGGACGAACGGGGTAGGAGGCACTGTTTCCTGCAGAGCCTGGAGTGATACAAACTTGGGGGTGGGGAGCAGGGTGGTTCCCAGATATTGTTAAAGCAAGGTGGTCTCTCCAGATTTACATGGGGAAACTGAGGAAGAGGGGTGGAGACCAGATACAGGATAAGTTAATTCAAGTAAAAAAAAAAAACAAAAAACAAAAGCAAGAGCGAGAGGAAGGAGGGTGGCAGACACGTGACGGGGCCCGAGATCCAAGCCACTCCCCACTCCGCAGAAACCCCCACATCCCCCTCCCCTGCCGTCGCAAAGTCACACGGAGGTCTCCGACTGCAGCCGCATGACAAACTTATGTGACTTGGGATCCACAAATTCCTCAGAGAGTTTGAAGAAGGGCACCTTCTTGGTGCTCACCACCAGGCTGAAGTCCTGGCGTTTTAAGAGGAAAACGATGCCATCCTTAAGCCCGTTGGTCACCGGCTCCTCGCTCACCAAGGTCCACTGTTTGGCCAGCCAACGTTCCTTGTGGTACTGGATGGTAGGTCCAGCTGCCAAGTATCGCTCCAGAAAGGCCTGAGGAGGGGAGAAGACACTGCCTGGGCATCTCTCCGCCCCCACCCACCCACCCACCCTTCATCCTCTGACAACACACAGCTTTCAAGGCGAGCCAAGAGGCTTTGGAGCTCATTCTACACACACGAACAAGTATCTTCACATGCGAGAGCAGAAGAGGGCCTGAGGGAAGCTTGATGTATAGACAAGGAGGATGACATGCACAGAATATAGTGATATAGCTCCAGTCAGGACCGGAATTCTCTCCCGTCCTTTACTCTGTTCCTTGCACCAGGCTGTGCCCGGGGCAACTCAAACCTCTTTCCTTCCCTTCCATACAGGTTATATGATTAGAGCCATACGGGTCCGCACTCAGAGGGATGTGGGCCAAGCCAAGATTCAAGTGCAACTGTGTGTGTGTGTGTGTGTGTGTGTGTGTGTGTGTGTGTGTGTGTGTACATGTGTGTGTGTGTGTGTGCATTAAAATCAGGAGCTCAGGCCTGATCTAGCACTGAGCTCCATTCCCAGCCTCTTTATCACCGTCTCAGCCAAGAAGGCTCCGAGAAAGCCATTCTAGGAAGCTGGCAACTGGGTGGAGGTCGTCCACAGCTAACAGTAAGCACAGGCAAAAGCTTACTTTGGGGGTGAAGGGGACAGGAAGGGAAAGGTGAGACTCGGGATGCAGACAACATTCCAGAGCCTTCTGAAGATGAGACACAGGCCTCTGACATCCCCCAAACGGTTCAGAAGCCTGCCCTCGCCTCCTCCGCTCCACGCGGACAGGATGGATGGGGTGGGGACGAGAAAAGAGGTCACAGGGAAGAGGTGAGGGTGAGGCCACGAGAGGGAAGGTGAGTGAGGAGAGACGCAGGGAATACAGCCACCAACCAAAAGAAGGCGGACGCGGAGCAAGGTGGAGGAGCAGCAGGCCTACCTTGGGTGTCATGTCGTGAGTGATGCAGAATTCCAGGTGCTGCAGGATGCTCTCCATGGTGTGGTAAGGCTGCTGCTTGGTGGTCCGAAGGTACTTCTGCATGGCACGGGCCATGGATGCAAAGATGGCTTGGGCTGCTTCCCGGGGATCCATCACCTCCCTGGGGTTCTTCTGCTCCTCTTCCTGCAGCCGCTTAATGTGAGTGAAGGCCTCCTCCACCGCCACCACGAGCCTGGGGGACAGGCAGTTTCTGGACCAGATGCCCACCGCTCACTCTACCCTCTACCTACCAGACTGCTGCTGGCTGCAGCCGTCAGAGCGAGGTCAGGCCTCCCTCTCTGCTCTCCCTGAAGTAACAGAAGCCCATTTGGAGCCCAGCGCCTGGGGACTAAGAGATGGGAGCGGTGTTTTCCTCAGGGGCAACAAGAAACAGCTGTAGAACTCAGTGGACTCAGACTAGGGACTTAAAGTGAACAGGCCCTGCACCAAATTCGGAAAGACACCTAGGAACTACGCTACCGAAAAGGCCAAGTATCCCGTCAGACCCAAGGAAAAGACTCCACACCACACTACACTATGTAAAAAATTAATAGATATGAGTAAAGGGAAATGGCAAATTACCATCATATCATTATCATCATTATTATTTATTATTACTATTAAAGTTATTTATGTGTGTGTGTGGGCATACACATGCCTTCTGTGGAGGTTTGAGAAATCCCTTCTCTCCAACACACGGATTCTGGGGATTGAACTCAGGTCATCCGGCTTTACTCCTGACCCTGGAAATGACATTTCTATTCAGCCACAGTAGCAGAGGCAATGCTGACACCTGACTGGAGGTTGCTGGGGAGGTGGGGTGGGGGGGATACCTGCAGCAGCTAAAGTCAACCAAGAACTGGCATCTAAAACACACAAAGAATTCACTACGAATCAGGAAGGAAAGGGTAAGGACCTTTAAAAAATAAGGAATAAAAGAGGAGGCGGAGAAGACAGTTCGGCAGGGAAAGGGACTTGCCACCGAGCCTGACAACCTCAGTTCTACAACCTGGACCTACATGGTGCAAGAAGAAAAACCACACCAGAAGCTGTCCTCGAGCCTCCATGGGAACTCTGAAGTGCGCGTGGCTACATGGACACATAAATAAGTAAATGTAATGGTTTTTGTTTTGTTTTGTTTTGTTTTGAGTGGGCAAAGGAGCCAGGAATGATGACACATTCCTATAATCCCAGCACTTGGTAAGCAGAGGCAGGAGAATCACAGGATCCAGACCAGGCTGGTCTACTTAGTGAGACTCTGTCTCAAAAAACTAAATTCAAATACAATCAGACCAAAGCAGTAAAGGATTCATATGAAATCCGAAAGATACCAGGCAAGCAGAGATACAAACTAAACATTAACCAGGGGCTGGAGAGAGGGCTCAGTGGTTCAGAGCACCAGCTGCTCCTGCAGAGTACCCAGGTTCCGTTCCTAGCACACACACCCCCACATGACAGTTCACAGCTGTATGTAACTCCAGGTCCAAGGGATCCCATGCCCTTTTCTACCTCCCTGGGCATCAGGCACACACATAGTACAGATACATACAGGCAAAACAATAATACACATAAAATAATTTTTTTAATTTTTAAAAATTAATAATAAAACATTAATAAGATGCTTCTTCATCAAAATGGAAGATAACTATAATCCTAACACTGGATAGGAAGTCAGGGGCATTCTGTGAACTACAGTGCAGCAGTAACACATGACGAGAGGGACATACAGAGCACATGGGTGAACCGCAAAACACATTAAAGAGGAAGAAGAAAAAAGTCAGTTTACCAGGAGGACTTGTATGAGTTCGAGGTCAGCCTGTCTACATAACGAGTTCCAGGCCAGCCAAGGCTACATAGATGACTTTAACAGCACAGAGGCACACAAACCCACACATCACTTGTTCAAAAACACAGATTTTTAAGGAACTCAAACTAGATTCAAGTAGATGAAGAAAGACTGTGAAGAAACTATGACCAAAAGGTGGTAAGGGCTGAGAACAATGAGAAGTGTTCTGCACTCTAAGTCCAAAACCCAAAATAAAACCCACAGACCTAAGAATAGGATTGGCCTGAAGAGACAGGATAAGAATGCATGTGAGGCCTATAGCCAAGAATCCAGGCACCTCAGGACCTTCAACGAGCTGAGGATGGAACTCTGGGCTAGCACATGCCATCTGTCTGTATGTCTAGTTTCTGTGCATCCTTTTGCCTCCGTTAGTAAAGTTTCTTCTGAAAAGGTCTTTTTGTTTCAGGTGAACCAAAGTTGCCTACCAGCTACAAGCAAAATAACAGAAGAGGAAATAAACCCATGCACCAAGAGTGACAGAGGCAGGCCATGATATCCAAGACCCTAGTCAGGGGGAAATGGCAAAAGGGGCCATCACTGGTTTCTTTCCAACAACAGGAAATGTCCCAGAATTAGAACCGGTGGTCTTTGTCCTCCCGGGGACAAGATGGGGCTGTCTCTCCACCCAGACACCTAGACAAGGAAAGTGGGGAGAGGGAAGGGTGGATTTCTAGCCCCGTATTTCTGCTCCTCTTTTCTCCAGTGAAATCCTGGAAGCTCCAGGTGGAACCTGGTAGCAGCAGACATTGAGAAAGAGTCTTCGGGTACGATTTAAGTTCTTACGACAAAGGGAAAAGTCAAGACAGGGTTTAAGAATTTACCAAGAGGCCAGGCGTGGTGGGGACACCTTTAATCCCAGCTCTTGAGAGGACCAAGATCTCCGTGAGTTTGAGGCCAACTTAAGCTACCTAGTAAGTTCCAGGACAGCCAGGGTTACTTAGTAAGACCCTGTCTCAATAAAACAAACAACAACAACAACAACAACAAAAGATCCAAGTAAAAGATGGCCTGTACTTTTAATCCCAGCACCAGGGAAGCAGATTCCGGCAGACCCCTGGGACTTGGGGGCCAGCTTAGTATAACCTAATGGTGAGTTCCAGAGCAATGAAGATTCCATCTCAAAACACAAAGTGGATGACACCTGAGGAACGATAGCCCAGGTTGTCCTCTGACCTCCATATACTTGTGCGCGCGCGCAAGCACACAGATAGATAGATAGATAGATAGATAGATAGATAGATAGATAGATAGATAGATAGATAGATAGATAGATAGATGATAGATAGATGATTGATAGATAGATAGATAGATGATAGATAGATAGATAGATAGATAGATAGATAGATAGATAGATAGATAGATAGATAGATAGATAGATAGATAGATGAT